GCATCTGAAAGCATGCGAGCTTGCCTCTGCACACAAAAGTTGCTATTATTGAAACCTGCGTCGTAGCTAAATTGATGTACTGCCTCCACACGCTGTGGCTCAACGTTTCTGAGAGCAACAAGCTCGACGCATTTCAAGCGCGGTGTCTGCGCAGTGTGGCTGGGATCGGGCATTCATATGGCAGCCGCGTCTCCAACGCGACCGTGCTGCAGACATGCAAATGCAGTAAACTCAGCACCACGCTTGCGTACAGGCAAGTGTGCCTGCTGGGGCGGATCGCAGCTCTCCCGAACGACAGCCCCGTTCGGCTCTGCGTGTTTCAATCGCATGCCCTCGCGCGCGTTGTCAGGAGGAAGTGGCCCCCAGAGGGGAAGGCCCCGAAACACGTGGAAGCGGAACGTCCACGATTTGGCCGTCAGGGTAGCCGGAAATTCGAACGTTTTGCGCAGAATGTGGCAAGGCCTGTCAGGCATGTGGCAAGTAGCTGCCAGACACTATTTCTTCACATAAGCCTTGCCTTCTCACTTTGTTTTTCTCCTCCTCCTCCTCCTCCTCCTCCTCCTCCTCCTCCTCCGCCTCCTCCCCTTCCCTGTCTCTTCTACCCATTCACCTGGCAGCTGTCCTGATATGTGGTTTGTTTTGACATGTGTTCTAGGGGTGATTTTGGACACCACTTGCCCATGGAACTGGCGACGCCGGGAGGTTCATTGTTTCACAGCGCCTGGCTGCAGAAGCGCCTGCGCTTATTTCCCTGCCCATACACCTCCGACGTGCACGGCGTCTTTCTTCTTGAAAAGATAATTCGTAAGGATCCTGAAGGGCTCCCAAGGTTTCGTCGTCGTCGCTGTCGTCCGACGGACGACAGCGACGACGACGAATTCCTGGAAACCCAGCACGACAGCGCCGTCGGCCCCAGGTCACGATCACGACCACGAACTTGCTAGTCGGGCGTTCTTGCCCTTTTCGGCCTTCTGGAGACTGGAGCCTCTGGAGGAAGGACCCCGATCTCTAGGGGGAGGAGCGAGCGGGAGGGGGAGAGAGAAAAGACACGATGGGCTAGGAAGAAAAGGGAGAAGGGAGGAGGAGGAGGAGGAGGAGGAGGAGGAGGAGGAGGAGGAGGAGGAGGAGGAGGAGGAGGAGGAGGAGGGGGAGAAGGAGGAGGGGGAGTAGGAGGAGTGTGCCTAATTTTGCACATTTCGTCGTCGGCGGTTTTTGGAGCATTCTGGAGAGCCGAAGAGCCCCGGAAGCCTCCAGAGGTTTCTAGAGGCCCCCAGAGGCCGGTGGCGACGAGTCTCCGGTTGACCAGTCGGCCCCCGTTGACCTTGCGAGCACGTTGCGCTGTTCTCGTCCGTGCGCCGTCCTGTGGTCGGTATGGTGCTCTCTGGCGCGCTGTCGTGCTCGCAGGCCGTGGCAGTGCGCACGGGGGCACTTCGGTGCTCACGGCGGCCCCCCGCCGTGATGTGATCGGGAGGGACGAACTCCCCCCCCTCCCCGACCAGTTATAGCGAATGATAAAAAGGACAGGCTCTTAGGAGGCAACTTCTGACGAACGACACCCACACACACACACGCCAATACCCATAGGGGGGTCGTCGGGAGAAGGACTGGCTATGGGTACGGGTGCGGGTTGTCGGACCCCGGAGGAGGCTCCCGTTCGAACGGAGACCCCCACACGACAACAAGCACCCTTATAAAGTCCCCTCCGTCACCCTATGGGTATATGGGTGTGTGTGTGTGTTGTTCGCTCGTCAATTTCTGGGAGGTCTTCGTAAGAGCGATGGAGCGCTACTCAGCCCGATGAAGGAACCCTTAAGCAGGATAGGCCTGGAATAAGCCCAGAATGGACCCGATTAGACGGTATTGAGCAGGAGCGGAGCGGACTAGTACAGTTCTCAGCATAAACAACAAAAACAAATAAACTTTCAGAGCGCCGAGGCCCAACCACATGCTCCAGGCGAACCAGGCAGGAATCACCTGAGGGCCAACCTGCATTAGGCGACCACGCTGCTCACTTCCTCTCCTTCTCCTCCTCCTCCTCCTCCTCCTCCTCCTCCTCCTCCTCCTCCTCCTCCTCCTCCGCATTCTCCTCCTCCTCCTCCTCCTCCTCCTCCTCCTCCTCCTCCTCCTGCCCCCTCCTCCCCCTCCTCCTGGGGCACTGAGGCACTGATGGTCGGAGAGCCCGCCGGACGCGACCATCCCCCCCAGGGGCCGGTCGGCACTGGGGGGGGGATAAAACTGAGAGCCTGACGAAGGTCACCGCCAGCTGAGAAGAGGTACGGTCAAAACGTGTATGAAGGACGCGTGGTAAGGACGCAGGACCCTTGGAGGCCGAAGTTGGGACGTTTTTTGGGCGGCGGGCGACCAGTGATAAGGGCAAGGATAAGCCTCAGAGGCAAGGACACAAGGGTACCCTAGATGAAGGCGCGCGTCCTTACTAGGCGCGTTGACTGTAAGTGAGTAAGGCAGCAGACGCAGAAGGATGGGCGAGGGGGAGGAAACGGCGGCCCTCCCTGGCGTTGTGAGGTATCCTTGGACATTCTGGAGGCTTCTCGTCGCCACGGCTGGATGCTCCTCGGATGACGGTTAGCGGCGAGCAGAGGGGGGCAGGGGTAGTGGGGAAGGCTTCTCAGAAGGAGGCTGCTTCTCAGAAGGCGCCAGCCCTACGTCTTTCGATAAGGCCCGCGCCTTCAAAGAAGCAGGGGTGCTTAGCCTCCCGCCTTCCCCTACCTCCCTCTGCGCGTGGCCGGGTCAGGATGGGCCTCAGGGGAGGGGTCCAGCCTGACCCATGGGGATCATGTAGAAAACGCTGTAGGTAAAAGCACGGGGCAACCTATATTTGCTCTTACTTTTCTTCTACCGCTGGGGAACGATAGGGGCGGGACCAGCAAAAGGGAGGAAGCATCGAGCTGGAATCGGTGATACATCGTCGAAAGTTGGCCGCGGGACTCCCCCGAGGGCGAAAACGCAAGCTCCTGGGCGGATTGGACTATTAGGCCCCAGTCGGCGATGACTGGGCGAGCAGGGGGTACAGTATGAGCTCGACCACCAAAACCTTCCACAAGAAACCCAACCCTGAGACCCCAGAACGTCCATCGGTTCTTGGTGTGGGAAGAACGTCACGCTTTCCATCGCAGGACCATCGAAACCCAAGAGACCCAGAGCACCCTGGAGGCAAGCAGGGTGTCTCTTGGCATGGGGGCTCCCACTGCAGGTGCACCCTCCCCGGAACCGGGGAAGGGCAGCGCCTCGGCTCCCGTGGCCAGCTCCTCCGGCGCCCCTCCGGGGCCGAGGCCCGCCGCGCGCGGCAGAGCTCATATACCCCCAGAGGCCTGCTGGGGTGGGGTCCGAGCAGCTGGGGCCGGAGAGGGTCGCGCCGCAGCGCCGATGCACCCGCGAGGTCGGCGATTGTCGAGCCGCACTGCCGATGCATCGGCGATGCGGCGCGAGCCTCTCCGGCCCCAGCTGCTCGGACTCCGGGAGGCCCGAATGCTCCCCCATTTCCCCAGTCCCCCCTGTTTACATAAACGTTCGGAGATACGCGCGGATTCCTAGGATCCGCGCTGAACACCCCCCCTTGCGCGCCCGAGGCTGCGCCAGAGTCGCCAGCCAGGGGCCCCAACGCCGATACAAAAAATCCGCGCGGACCTTCGAAAGTTTATGTGAACGTTTAGTGTTTAGTATTCGGCGTTTCGACATTGGGCGCAAGGGGGGGGGAGGGTTTGGCTCCAGACCTCTGCTTAATGCGATTGTTTGCAGCAGTGCGTCCTACGGGGGAGACCCCACCTGCTCGAAGCTGGCGACCAAAACAGACAAGATCTACTCCATGGGGCCGAGGGCCCGCGCCGATCGGCAAAAACAGTGAATAAGAAAACGATTACTTTTCCAGCCCCCGAGAGGCCCCCAAGACGGCCCCAAGAGGCCCCAAATGGCGCTCCAGGGCCGGCGGAATGAGCGAAGCGATCAAATAAGAAAACGATGACTTTCCCATCTTGGAGAAATCCCCCCCTCGTCCGACCCGTGCCTTGCTCCCCAGGAAAGAGCTGCCCTGGCCGGCCGCGAAGTGCACGCCCACGCGCGACAGGTCCTCCGCGGAGGCCGAGAGCTGAAGCGCCGCCGCGCTCCCCCGGCCGCCGCTCTTGCGGCACTTCCCGTTGCGGGCCTCGCGCGGAGCGAGCGGCATCGAGCCGATCAATGCGGGAACAGAGACCCCAGACATGATCGCGCCGGGCAAAAGCACAACTGGCGCTGTTATTTTTGCTTGTGGACGGACTCTGTGGGTGGGCCCTCGCAAGAGCCCGGGGGCGGTCAAAACACGGCTCGGGGTGAAGAGCCAGCCCTGGGGAAAGGGTCGGGATTTCAAGGATCAAGACGTCGCATGTCTGAGCCAGAATCAACGATCGGGGGCGTCTCAGAAGGGGGCGTCCAAGGGGGGGTGGGGGGGCGCAAATCATGACCAGCAGCATGTGCGCGGCCCAGGGGGGGGGGCCAGGGACGCACTGAAATAAGCAGAGGCGCCATGAAATCTGGGGAAGTATCATGGACCCCGCCATGACATCAACTCCCCCCTGGTCATCACCCCCCTCTTGGCCGCCCCCGGCATGACGCGCCGCCGCGGGGAACCCAAGGCCCCAGGGCACCAACCGAGGAGCAGCACGCCGACGGGCGCCCCAACGCTGGCGTGTCGCTGGTGTTCCTGTCCCCCCCGAATAGAATGGATCAGGCCGGAACGTGCGTCGGATCGCCTGCAGGGGCTCGAGAGCTCAAGAAGGCTCGAAGGCTCAAGGCTTCGATGATCGATCTGGACTCGCCAGATCTGCACGCCGTGGACAGCGGAGCCAAGCCCGAGAAGACGGAGTGAGACCTTACAGTTATGGGCTGCTGAAATCGGGAACGACACACGAGGAGCAAAAAGCCCCTTTTTGACACCCACGGCGACTGCGTACACGAAGGGAGCTGGAGGAACAGCCACGGAAGGATCCAGCGAACATCGAGCCGCTTGCGAGCCCAAACTGCTGCTTATCTCAGCGTCTTTGACTGTAAGAGACGCACCCCCGAACTGGCGAATCTCTCAACGCCAGCTGGTAGGCAGGATCGGTCATCGTCGAATCGGGGAGTCTGATCGGGTCGGGACGTGCGAGCCAGATCGCCCTGCATCGGCACGGAGCCGACATCGAGCCCGATCGGCCGCGCCAGGGTGCGCAACGGCGCCATGCAAGCATCGGGCCTCGCCACATCGTCGGAACATCGGCACCGAATCGCGTCCAGCCAGCCAGGATCGACATCGAATCGGCCCCGGACACGCCATGCCTTCTCTCAAGACGCGGCCCAGGGTGTCCCGACCTTTCCCCATTTGGCAAGTTGTTCATCCCCAGTCACCTTCTGACGGCCCCGGGACCCGGCGAAGGCCCTGTAGGCCGAAAGTGGCCAAAAACCTCCCGTCGCCATCTTGGTGCATGACGCAAGCGTGTCTGCAATCGAATTCGGCACGGGCCTTGTACGGGTTCTCCGACTCCTTTGCCAGGCCGTGGTTGATGGCCCAGTCGAAGGCGAGCTCGACGGTCGCGCCGTCGCAGCCACCACTGCCGCCGCAGTGGTGCGGGTTGGGGACGCAGTCCAGCAGCTCCTGGCAATAGGACGCTGCGTTCATTTTCTATCTCTCTCTCTCTCTCTCTCTCTGTGTCTCCTCGGTCTTGATATTCATACATGTGCATATGTAGATATATGCGCGCTTCGCGCGAGCTTGGATTCTTGCCATACCCAGCCCTTAGAAGCTCACAGCTCCACGGAAATAATCCTCACAAGTGGCTCGGTGACAAAGCACTGAAAAGAATGCATTGAACGCAGTGGAAGCGCAATGCAAAGCAGTGCCATGGAAATCACACGCGAAGATATAGCAATGTAAAGCACTGCAAGCAGAAATGATCGAGGAAAATGAAAGGCAAAGGAAAGCTATGTTCATCAGCGCAGTGCGAATTACGAAGCAAGGCAAGTGCAAATGCAACGCAAACCAGCTCAGTGCAACACGACGCACGACAGCGCAAGTGACTTAACGAACCCAAGGGGCACGAGATCCTCGGGACAAGGCTTTCTAGCAGAAGCCCAAACAGCGAGCGCAGCCCCTAAACAGGGGAAGAAAGGATGGATGGAAGCGAGGGAGACGGATGAAGCACGAGGGAATTTAGCAGAAGGGGGGCTGCGAGCAGAAAACACGTAGCAGAACCAGACGGGCAGATCGGCGGGCAGACCGTAACGGGCGGTCGGGAAGGCGGGCCCAAGCGGCCAGTTCGAGCAGGCGGGTCGCTGAAGCGTGAATCCTGCATGAATCGCGCCGAAGTCTCGAGCGATAGCGCGATGCCCAAGTAAATTGTGAGAAAGGCCAAGCGAGAGCATGATTCCTGAGTGTCGAGGGCGCGGCGTCCGAATAACTTGCGAGGAAGTCCCACGCGAGAGCACGATTTCTGCATAAATTGTCAGGAAGTCCCGCGCGAGAGTGCGATATTTCGGTAACTTGCAAGGAGATACCTTCCGGGAGCCGTTGATGTTGTAATTCGGGGCCCAATAAGCCAGCTTGAGCAGGAAGACTTTCCCTCATAAAAACTAAGGTGCGAGGCCCGAGGGGGGCACTTTAATTGAAAAACACCATGCGCACCGGTGGGGGTGCATCGACAAGAGTCATTCCAAGAATGCGAGTGGAACAACTACAACAACACCAACAACAACAACAACAACAATCATTTAAGACTGGGGACACTCCGTTCTCACCAGTGCCAGGGTTTTCATAGGAGGCGGGCAATACCCCCACTTTGTGGGGGGCCGGTTCAAGCTCTACCAAGTTTCCAAACGACTCTTCGCCACCACCCACACCCAGCTTCCCGCCCTATGACGTTCGGACACTTCACTTCGTGGCATGCGGACGACCGTGGCTACTATTCAGGGCCCCGCGGCCGACGACGACGGCGTGCGCGCGCGAAGAAAAAACGAATGTGTCCCGCATGGTATTATTTGACAGGGATGATGGCCCTGGCAGGTGCGCAACCGTTGTCGCAGAAGTTCGAAAAAGTTGCTCGCAAAAGCCCGTTTGACAGAAATGTTTAAAAAGTGTTGGGTTTCCTACGAATCCGCAAGAGCGCGCGGGATGAGATTTTGACAATTTTTTGTTGAAAAACCATTGGTTTTTTGATGTTTTTATGTTAAAATCGCTGCGAACACTAAGGTTTTGGAAGGATTTCGTCTTGCGCGCGCGAATGTCCACTTTACCTTATTTTTTGCAAGGGATTCTTGAAATTTGATTATATTAGAACAAGAAATGTCATTTTCTATTGTTTTTTGCAAGGGAAAGCGGATTACAACAAAACAACCGGATCCTGTACACACCCTCTTTTCTGAGGCTTCCTCACGAAAATGATGAAAATGTAGCTGCGGCCTAGGCGGCGCAGGGGGGGCGCGCACCAGGGGGCCCAACAATAATTATTCTTTAGAATAAATAATGTTCAACAACAACAACAACCACCACCACCACCACCACCACCACCACAACAACAACAACAACAACAACACCAACAACAATTATCATTTTAAGACTGCTCGTTCGTATCTGCTCGTGTGCAATTCAACACGTATATCCCGAACCCTCCATGCCCGCCCTCTTCGTCCTCGACCGTACGCCCTTGGGGGGAGATCTTGCTTACCTGCAACGTGTAGTTCGTGCAGCCCCGGAGGCACTCCAGCCAACCCTAGCACAGCCAGCGCACGCATGGGCCCAAGATCGGTTCGATCAACACAGGCACGATCGGTGGGCCCAGGACTGGGCCGGCCGAGATCGGTGCACGTGGGCGTATAGCTCGCGCCACCCAGGGAGGATCCTCGGACGACGGTCGACCTCCCCACCTCTCCTGGAGTGGGCCAGGCGTGTGAGGCGAGTCCAGCGGTGGCGACGAGGGCCCCCCAGGAGGCCTAAAAGTACGGCCGGACCAGGGACAGAGGAACAGCCTTCGAGAGCACGAGACTCTCCACGGGCCAAACTGAAGAGCATTCCAGGGTGCCCTCCCCCGGGATGCACAAGAGCACCCCGCAAGCACGAAGAACACGAGGGCACCCTCCCAAGACCCGACCTCGATCCGAGACCTCGGCCCGACCGGGCCGAGGCCAGATGCTTACCGTCGACGCGCGGCCACAGGAGAGAGCGCAGCTCGAGAGCGCGGAGCCCCCCGAAGCGAAGAGCACGCCGAGGCGGAGGGCCCGAGCACGAAGAGGGCCCACGACTGCAGTGGACCCACGACTGCACCACCACCATTCCCCTCCTCCTCCTCCTCCTCCTCCTCCTCCTCCTCCTCCTCCTCCTCCTCCTCCTCCTCCTCCTGTTATCCATATCTCCCTCCTCCTCACCCTCCTCCTCCTCCTCACCCTCCTCCTCCTCCTCCTCCTCCTCCTCCTCCTCCTCCTCCTCCTCCTCCTCCTCCTGCTGCTCCGCCTCACCATTTTCCTCCTCCTCCTCATCATCATCGTCATCAGCATCAGCATCAGCATCAGCATCAGCATCAGCATCAGCATCAGCATCATCATCACCATCATCATCATCATCATCATCATCATCATCATCATCATCATCATCATCATCATCATCCTCACCCTCATCCTCATCCTCATCCTCACCATCATCACCATCATCACCATCATCACCATCATCATCAGCATCATCAGCATCATCATCAGCATCATCAGCATCATCATCATCATCATCCTCATCCTCATCCTCATCCTCCTCTGGTGTGGAGGACGAGGAGGAGAAGCAGCAGCAGGAGGATTGTAAGGGCCTGACCACAAGAGACCTTCCACGACAAACCCACCCCTGAGACCTCAGGACGTCCATTGTTTTTCGGTGTGGAAGCGTCACGCTTCCCAGAGCACAAACATTGACATCGAAAGACCCCAGGGCGCCCTGGAGGCAAGCAGGGTGTTTCTTGGCATGGGTCTCCCCTGAACCCCTCCAAAGCTAGGGGTACTCGCACAGTCCAACCTGTGCGGTAAGGACGCACGATAAGGATGCAAGGGGCCTTGGAAGGCCACGTCGACACTCTGCGGGCAGGCGGCGGCCAGCGAACGCGGCCAAGGATGGGCCGAAGGGGAAGGATGCAAGGGTAACCTTGGGAAAGTCGCTCATCCTTTCTGTGCGGGTTGACTGTAACCCCAGTGCCAACTGCACCGCCCAATCATGGGGCCCCCCAGCACGAGCAAACATCCGCAAGAAATCCTTGGACTCCTCCTGGGACCCTTCCCAGCTTTTCGAGCCGCATCCAGCTGTGGCAACGAGAACTTCCAGAGAGGGGCAACGATAGAGAGGACCAGATCGGGGGGAATATTGAGCTTGAATCGGCGATTCATCATCAATAGACCGGCGATACACAACCACGAGTTTGGCGATGCCGACCTGGAATCGACGATCGGCGATAGATCGGCAACAGGCTCTCGAAGGCGAAACCGCACCTTCCCGAGCGGGGCGGCTACCAGACCCGTCGGCGATACATGGGCGCATGGGGGTCGAGGCATTCCCCTCTGAGGCTGTCCCCCCTCTAGCGTTGCCCCATGATGTACGAACGAACAAAAGAAGCAGCCGCCGCGGGGACGCCAGCGTCCCTGCAAAGGAGGATGGCGCGCTTGTCGCGCGCAGTCCTTCTGCGAAGGTTCTACTCGATGCGGGACCTGGAACCCCCCAAAAAATTGGCCTGGCGAAGGACCCAACCATATGCAGTTGTGAGCACCGCAGTTGTGGGTATCGCCTTCGGTGGAGCTCCCTATGGGCCACGAAGCGCTGTACTGGGTGGAGGAGACCCATGTGGACACCGTGGCTGCGAGCTTAGGTGGAGCACCATATGGGGCCACGAAGCGCCGTGCTGGATGGGGGAGACGCATGTGGACACCGCCACTGGGACCTTAGGTGGAGCTCCCTATGTGGCCACGAAACGCTGCGCTGGGTGGGGGAGACCCATGTGGACACCGCCACTGTGACCTTAGGTGGAGCTCCCTATGGGGCCACGAAGCGCTGTACTGAGTGGGGGAGACGCATGTGGACACCGTGGCTGCGAGCTTAGGTGGAGCTCCCTATGGAGCCACGAAGCGCTAAACTGGGTGGGGGAGACGCATGTGGACACCGCCACTGGGACCTTAGGTGGAGCTCCCTATGGGGCCACGAAGCGCTGTACTGGGTGGGGGAGACGCATGTGAACACCGCCACTGGGACCTTCGGTGGAGCTTCCTATGTGGCCACGAAACGCTGCGCTGGGTGGGGGAGACGCATGTGGACACCGTGGCTGCGAGCTTAGGTGGAGCTCCCTATGGGGCCACGAAGCGCTGTACTGAGTGGGGGAGACGCATGTGGACACCGCCACTGGGACCTTAGGTGGAGCTCCCTGTGGACACGAAGCGCTGTGCTGGGTGGGGGAGACGCATGTGGACACCGCCACAGGGGCCTTAGGTGGAGCTCTCTATGGCGCCACGAAGCGCCGTACTGAGTGGGCGAGACGTATGTGAACGCGGCTACTGGGATCTTAGGTGAACCTCCCTATGTGGCCACGAAACGCTGAGGACATGCGCAGGGCAGAGGCAGAGATGGGAGGAGGGAGGAGGGGGAGAGGGGGAAGAGGAAGGAAGGAAGGAACGCGGGGACCGTCTCCTCAAAACGAGGACCCTACACCACAGAATGGTTCGGAAAAAAAACACGAAACGTTTGCACGGGCCGTCGTGCGGCCATCGCCAGGCGCACTGCCGAAAGCTACTCTCAAACGAAACGCTCAGCATCGACAAAATACTCCCGGCACGGAGACGCCGTCGCCGGCGGCAGCCAGCGCACGCTGGTGTCCTGCGTCGAGAACCTCTGCGCTCGCCCCTTCTTGGCCGCCTTGTCGTAGATCTCCGCGTGCGCCTCGAGGACGACGGAGGCTGCCACTGCCCAGCACGAGCCGCAGCCCCCCTGTAGATGCACAGGGGGCTAGGTGTACTTCAGGAACAACCGAACTGGAGTTAGAACCTGGATATACATCAAAATACCAGACACTCGTAGTAGCAGCTTCCATACATCAGAAAATCAATAAATATCAGGAACAACCGATTATGGGTTCAGAACCTGGACGCAGCTAAATAGGAGACGTCCGCTGATGACTGATCCAGCATCTGACAACAATACAGTAGGGGCCCATTCACAGGAAAACATCCACAAGAAACCCAACCCTGAGACCCCAGGACGTCCATCGATGTTCTTGTGGGCACGTCCCGCTATCCGTAGCGAAACCATCGGAACCCAAGAAACCCAGGGCAGCCTGGAGGCAGGCAGGATGCTTCTTGGCATGGGTCTCCACTGCACGCACAAGGAATTCCCCCCCCCACTGCCAGGGGGGGTTAGCCAAAGTGCCCCTGGCTCAACGGAGGTGCCCCCCGCCTGCCATGCCGTCTTGGGAGCCCCTGGGGGGCCCCCCAGGCGTCGCGGGGGGGGGGGGGGGGGGGGGGGGCGCTCGTGAGGCCACCTGGGCCTCCCTGGACAGTCCAGGCTGGGGGGCACCTGGGCGACGAAGAAAAAGGGGTCTTACGCGGTAACTCACGTGGGCCGCCAGCGCTTACGAGGGCGCTCACGCGCGACCTTACGCGGGCAATTTCCGCACGAATGTCGGCGCAAACGACCCCGTTTCCTAGTGTCGCTCAACTTGGGCCAAGGGCACCTCCTGGCAACACCCGAGACGTGCCAAGCAGGCGCATACGACCGCAGGCTACAGAGCCTGGGAAGGCAAACGCTATGAAACGCAACGCAGAAAGGTGCAGGCGCTCCGGTAGACCAGAGGGAGGGCTAGCGCGGGACCACCGAATGGAAGGCTGCGAACCTGGATAAAACGACAAGCCAAAAAGAGAAACACCCTGACATACTCGCGGCGCGAAGGGCCACGACGGGTTGTGCTTTTGTGGCCAGGACCGTCAAAACACCACTCGGGATGAAGAAGTCGCCCCAGGCAAGGGTCAGAACCTCCAAGGACCGCGTATCCCAAAAACGTAACATGTCATGTCTGGGCATACTGGGCCACATCGCCAGGATGCCAAAGAGAGAGAGAGAGAGAGACAGAGGAAAAAACAAAAGACGTAAACAATAACAAAAAGCCTGGTCGCGGACCGAGCTGAGGGACGTCAGCTTGGTCCAGTTGTCGAACACCTGAGGGGGGAGAGGAGGCGGCGGCGGAGGCGAAGAGGACGGACGACGACGAGAAGCACACAAGAATGGGCCTGCGCTGTGAGCTTACGAACGGGCCCATGACCACCTGTGTTCACCTCTCCTGCGCAGCTCTCGCCGCGGGGCGACGACGTTTCGCCTCCGCACCCCCCCCTTGTCGCTGGGGCGGCTCACGATCCCGTCCTGGACCCCAGCCGGCCGAGAATTCCTCTGGGGAAACCGAAAGGCACAAAGACCTCTACTACTCGGACCTCTCCCCAGGTGCGTTCTGACCTGAATTTCCCAATTTCGAAACGAATCCAGAGGTGGCGACAAGGGCCTCCCCGGGAGGCCCAGAAACGGGGATAACAAACATTAGCCTGGCGAAGGACCCAACCATACGCCGCACACCGCGCCAATTTTAGAACACGCCTTAATCGTTTCTTGGCCACATAAGGAGCCCCGCCGAAGGCCCAGATGCCAGCGCTCGCATGCGCCCACCGCACCTATTTTCTCACACCCCTCACATGTTTTGTGGCCCCATAGGGAGCTCCAACGAAGGCACACATGTCAGCGCTCGCATGCGCCCACCGCACCCACCTTGGCACACCCATCACAGGTTTCGTCGCCCCTGAGGGAACTCCACCGAAGGCACAAATGCCAGCTCGCATTCGCCCACCGCACCCATTTTGGTACACCCTTCACACGCTTCGTGGCCCCAAAGAGAACTCCACCGAATGCGGCGCATAAACCGGCAGTACCCACAACTGCATATGGTTGGGTCTTTCGCCAGGCTGATTTGATGACAAGTCGGTCCAGATCCTGGCGGCGCGCACGCCCGGCAAGAGCCAGCGAGAGACAGGCGGCGCGCGACGCCTGCAAGAGCTGCCGCCTCGACGGTCTCGGGCCGCTGGACACGGCCGGGCTCCCCCCCCTCGAGAGCCAAGAGGGACCTCCCGTTGGGACCGCTGGAGCACGGGGCCCCCAGAGAGCCCTCCGAGAACCCCCCGAGCAGCGCTCCGAGCCGCGGGGGGACTTGGAAACCTCTGGGAGGTCTTCGTCAGAACGATTGAGGTCCTACAAAGCCAGATTAACAGGCTACTGCGCCAGACTAGTTACGGTGGATTCAGCCCGGGACTCAGCCAGATTGAGCAGGGTTAAACGGTGCTAAGCCACATTTATCGGGATCAAGCGGGATTAAGCCAGACCAGGCAGATCTTCGACTAGGGATGTACCAGGTCCGATCCTGGAATGAACCCCCCAGGAGTTGCATCCGGAGGGGGGGGGGACGCCAGAGGGAGGCCGCTCAAAACCTGTTCGCGGAAACCTGCGAGGCGGCGACGCCGAGGAGCGACGAGTCAGGGGCCGCTGAAGGTGCCCCTGGCCCAAGGTGCGCCCAGCTTCTCGCTCCACTTTGGAGCCCGTGGGTCCCTGGACCTCGTACGTGGTGCTCTGAAGGGCCGTGGGGGCCTCCTTGGAAATCCTGAGGGACCCTTGGGCCAGGGGCGCTTCTGGCAGCATCTGAGACGCCGAGGAGCGACGAAGACCCTCGGGGCCCCCCGAGGTCCCGGCCTACAGCAGGCTCGCGTCGTGTCAACCCCGGCGTTGGTTCCAGACATCGCGGGGATCGTTCAAACTTGAACGATCGGCCGTTCCGTGAACGCCAGATCGTTCAACGACGGGCCGATTCTGGGCCGCGGGCGGCGTTCAACCTTCAACGCACGCGCTGGGTTCGCCGCCGGTCGACACGACGCGAACCTGCCGTAGACGTCCGACTTCGTGATGTTTCACCGCGCGGCTCCCCAGGGCTGGGAACCGGTTTTCTGAGGGGCAGCGAGAAGGGGGGGATGCATCGCCCTCGAATGGCCGATGCATCGCGCACGCTTCGTCGATACATCGTTCATGAAAGCCGCACAATGAATCGTCTATGTATCGTCGCATCGCCCTGGTACCAACGATGGGTGCATCGTCGATGCATCGTCGGTGTATCAACCATTCCAGGTCGATGCATCCCCCCTATGTATGACGAGGCCAGGACGATAATAAAATCGGGTGATGATAGATCGGGAATCTCTGAGATCCGGCGGCTCTGGAAGATGTCTCTGGCGCCGCGGCCTCCTCAGAGCGCTCCAGAACGAGAGCGTACCAAAACGCCCTGGAACGGTCATCCCAGCCCCGTCCGACTATGCCCATCCCCCCCTATGCGTTCCCCCCCCCTATGCGTTCCCCCCCCCTACCCGCCGGTCGGAAGAAGTAGGCAGAACCATAAAATCCGCCGACCCCCTTGTGGGGCCACCAGGCTGCGAGGAGCGGGATTCGCAGTTTCCTGTACCAGTTGTAGCTTGTAGTTTCCAGTGTTACAGTTCTGCTTATTGCTGGTTACTGTAACTAGTTGATTGACCGCGCGAGGGGGGGGGAGGCCCAAACCGGCTTTTTAGCACCCCCTGGGCGCGTTGTCTGAATTGCTGGGGGGGCTCGAAATCACACCCCTCACGCAGATCCGCGGGGTCAGGGTCCAAAAACACAGGGGATTTGCCACATTTCTGAAATTCGGTGCCACCCCTCACGCAGATCCGCGGGGTCAGGGTCCAAAAACACATGGGATTTGCCACATTTCTGAAATTCGGTGCCACCCCTCACGCAGATCCGCGGGGTCAGGGTCCAAAAACACAAGGGATTTGCCACATTTCTGAAATTCGGTGCCACCCCTCACGCAGATCCGCGGGGTCAGGGTCCAAAAACACAGGGATTTGCCACATTTCTGAAATTCGGTGCCACCCCTCACGCAGATCCGCGGGGTCAGGGTCCAAAAACACAAGGGATTTGCCACATTTCTGAAATTCGGTGCCACCCCTCACGCAGATCCGCGGGGTCAGGGTCCAAAAACACAGGGGATTTGCCACATTTCTGAAATTCGGTGCCACCCCTCACGCAGATCCGCGGGGTCAGGGTCCAAAAACACAGGGGATTTGCCACATTTCTGAAATTCGGTGCCACCCCTCACGCAGATCCGCGGGGTCAGGGTCCAAAAACACAGGGATTTGCCACATTTCTGAAATTCGGTGCCACCCCTTACGCAGATCCGCGGGGTCAGGGTCCAAAAACACAGGGGATTTGCCACATTTCTGAAATTCGGTGCCACCCTTCACGCACATCCATCGCAAGGCGTGGTAACCCAAACTGCGAGAACTCCCTCGGCCCTTTAATCGCAAGGTGTGGTAACCAAGCCCGTAAACCATACACGTCTTACCAATCGCCAGGTGTGGTAACCCCTCTTGTGATCAGTTGGTTTTGCTGATTGCGAATCGGCTTCGCATGAAGTTTCGATACTGCTTCACGACAGCGCCAAGACCTCATGACTTAGCTCTTCCATGGCCCATTCTCCGAGAGAGGGGGCCGGCGGCAGGGGGCGAAGCCCTTACGGATAGAAAGGCGTTGGAGGTAGATTGGGTTTCCACCCGCCCCCTGACGAGGACGGAAGAGAGCTGCAGTAGGAAGGCAATGGAAGAAGATTTGGATCTAGGAATCCAGAAATACCAACTTTCAACGACCGGCGTGTATCGCTGCCCTCGAGGGAGCGAAGCCAAAAGCATGAGCATAAACTTTCGGAGGTCCGCGAGGTGTATCAACCAATCGACCATCCTCGAGGTATCGTCCGCAGGTGCATCGTCGGTGTATCAACCATTCGAGGTCGACGCATACCCCCCTATGCGTATCCCCCCCGACCGTTACCCCCGAGAGAACGAGGCCAAAAACATGAGCATATAAACTTTCGGAGGTCCGTGCGGATTTCCTAAGAGGATCGGCGCCAGGCCCTCCCTGGCGCACGAAAAACGCACCAGGGGCGGCGTCAGAGGCGCCGCCGAGGGCTGCAGCGCCGATCCGAGGGATCCTCGCAGGCCTCCGAACGTTTGTGATTATGTTCTTGGCTTCGTTCCCTCGAGGCAGCGATTAAGACGAAGCCAGGACGATTATTAATTCGGGTGAGGATAAATTGGGAATCTCTGAGATGCGACGGCTCTGGAAGATGTCTCGGGCGCCGCGGCCTTCTCGGAGCGTTCCAGATCGCTCTGAGAGCATTCCGGAACGCTCTGGAACGGATTTATCCTCGTCCTGGCCACGTCCGAACGATAGGGCGGGATAGGCATAGGGGGGATACATCGATCTCGAATGGTTGATACACCGACGATGCATCTCTGAATGATACCTCAACGATGGTCGAATGGTTGATGCACCTCGCGGGCCTCCGAATGTTTTCATGCTTATTAGTTGATCCTCGATCCCAGGCAGCCACTGTAAGGATCCACGAGCAGGATGCAAGGGCCTTGGAAGGCCGTGTCGACCCTTGTCGAGCGGGGCGCGGCCAGCGACAGTGGCCAAGGATGGGCCAGAGGAAAAGGATTCAAGAGCAACCTTGGAGAACCGCTCATCCTTACTATGCGCGCTGGCCGCATGCCAATCTTTGCTCCTCGATCCTGGGCAGCCGCTAAGAGGCGCCACTGGCGGTAATCAGGGGGAGGGGGAAAGGCTCCGTAGAGGGCGGCTGCTTCTTTGCAGGCGCTGGCCTTACATCTCCACATCTGGCCCGCGCCTCTCCTGAGAAGCAGGGGTGCTTCCAAGAGGCCTTCCCACTTCCCCCCTCTGCGCGTGGCCGACGTTCGGTAGCGGTTTTATCGCAACGTCGACCCCCAAAGGTCTGCACCCCTTCCCCAGAACCCGTTCTTCCACCTGAATCGTTTTTTGACGGCCCCGAGGCCCGGCAAAGGCCCCCGGAGGCCGAAAACAACGAAAAACCTCCCACTGCCCCCCTCTGCGCCTGGCTGACGCCAGGCGCCCCCGACGGCCGTCGAACCCCGAGGGCCGCGGCGGGGGCGGGGGCGGGGGCGACGGCTGCGGCGGCCGCTGCCTGCGGGAGGCCGACGCCCTTGCGGGTGGCCAGCAGCGCCTGCGGCGCGGCCTGCGCGCTGCCGGCCTGCGCGGCGCAGCGCGCCAACACCGCCGCCGCCGCCGACCTTGACGACGACGACGACGCCGTCGCCGCCGCCGCCCCCGACCTCGACGGCGACGACGGCGACGACGACGACGACGACGACGGCGGCGGCGACGACGACGCCACAGCCGCCGCCGCCGCCGCCGCCACCGACCTCAACGACGACGACGACGACGACGACGACGACAACGACGACGACGACGATTACGACGACGACGACTGCGGCTGCGACGACGACGACGACGACGCCGACGCCGCCGACGCCGCCGCCGCCGCCGACCTCGACCTCGACGACGACGACGACGACGACGACGACGACGACGACGACGACGACGACGATTACGACGACGACTGCGGCTGCGACGACGACGACGACGACGCCGCCGACGCCGCCGCCGCCGCCGACCTCGACCTCGACGACGACGACGACGACGACGACGACGACGACGACGACGACGACGACAACAACCACGACGGCGGCAACGACGACGACGCCGCCACCACCAACCTCGACGACGGCGACGACGACGACTACGACGACGCCGCTGCCGCCGCCGACCTCGACGACGACGACGACGACCCCGACGACGACGACGACGACGACGACGACGCCGCCTCCGCCGCCACCGACCTCGACGACGACGACGACGACGACGACGACGACGACGACGACGACGATTACGACGACGATGGCGGCTGCGATGACGACGACGACGACGACGCCACCGACGCCGCCGCCGCCACCGACCTTGACGACAACGACGACGACGACGACGACAACGACGACGACGGCGGCGACGACGACGACGACGCCGCCGCCAACCTCGACGACGAAGACGACGACGACGACGACGACGCTGCCGCCGCCGCCGCCACCTCCGCCGCCGCCGACCTCGACGACGACGTCGACGACGACGACGCCGACGACGCCGCCACATCAACCGCCGCCACCGACCTCGCCGACGACGACG